TTTCCCTACTCCAATGTCTCCCAGAGTTTCCCCAGTGTTTTCTAGAAGCAGTTTAATAGTTTGGGGTCTTAGATTTAGATCCTTGGTTTTTGTCAAAGGTGATAGGTAGGGGTTCAGATTCATCTTTCTACAGGTTGTAATCCAGTTTTTCCAGCACCATTTGCTGAAGAGGTTTTCCTTTTCCCACTGGATTGACTGGTACCCCTTATCAAAAATCAGTTGACTGAATGATTGGGAATTTATTCCTGTGGACTCAATTCTGTTCCATTGGTTCACATGTCTGTTCCTATGCCAATACCATGCTGTTTTGATTACCACAGCTTTGTAGCATATTTTTGGGTCAGGGAGTGAGATGCCACCCACTCCACTTTTCTTTTATTTTAATTTGGAAAGTTAAAATTTCCTTTTTTATTTATTTACATTTAATCACATATCTCTTTACAGTGTACAACATTTCTTTTTCCAGCATGAATACCACGCATGTCAGTCAAGACAAAGATATTACTATATACATTACCATCAGCAAATAGCTTATCATTTTTTTGTCAGTTAAACACTTTTACTTTTTTTCCCTCTTTTCCCTCCCTCCCTTTCATACTAAACTTTTTTCATATTTATTGATTCACAAAAGATGTTAAGCTAAAAGTATAGACAAAGCTAAAATCTAATGACAAATGCACTGTAATTTTCTTCTGAAACATTTTTTCTCTCTCCATTCACCTTTTTACTAAAGAGAGGTTTAAACTAACTTATTTGCAAAAAAAAAAAAAATAGATTAGTCTCAACTTGGTCTGTTACTTGATTTGCACAAAGCCCCATAAGAATTCAATTTCTGATGCAAGGGAACAGATACTATTGTATTATTTGACTTATGCAAATAACCATTCTGCCACAAAATAAGAATGCTCATAAATATTTTTTAATTGCAAAGGGGTCAGGAAGGGAGAAAAGCTTATGTTTCAATTTTTTAAAAATTAACAAATTGCTGAACCTCATAAGAAACAACAACTCACAAGAAAACCAAAATCCTTAAATCTGGAAGACAAGGCATAGAAGAAAGTCAGTAATGTTTTTGACAAAAGTCATAGAATTCTATCTCACCAGTTCAGTCACATGTAAAAAAAAAAAAAAAAAAAGTTTAAAAAATTTCCAAGTAAAAATATAAAATGCTACGACTAAGGAATAAAATACTCAAATGATGTTCTCAGATACTGGAAATATTTGAGTTTTAAAATTAGACATGGAGGGGCCAGCAAGTGGCATAGGATTAAGGTATTGGACTCCCTCATGGCTAACCATGATTTGAATGTCAGACCCGGCAGCTTGAAACTCATGCTAGCCGCATGTGCATGCGTGCCCAAAATCCCAAGAGGAGAATGGAGGAGAAAGGATTACACTGTGGTCATCCCCCATAGGGGGTGATTTCTTGCTTTCTGTCTCTCTGGTGAGCATGCCCATCCTGTAGCAAAAATCTTTCTCAGAAAATAGATAAAAATAAAATTAGAAATGGAGGTAAATCTATCTGAAAATAGTATGTACAAATATATGTAATAAATATTTAACTTTTTAATTATTTCATAGAATTTCACCAGAATATATGAAACTCACTTTTAAAACAGAGTAAGTTAAATTATGATGGTAATGAAAAATAACAACTGATTTTCTTAATTCATTAACATTTCATATACTATACTCAACTTTTTGTAAATTTAGACTTACATAATAAATATGACAATCCTACTATAAAACATATGACAGATCTGGCCCTGTAGCCTTGTGGTTAAGGGAGTTGAACCAGGGTGATCAACTGTGGTATGAGTCCTTACTCTGGCAGCTTGAAACATATGCCAGAACTTCTGTGTGCACCCCAGATCCTGCAGGATGGAGAAATGGGAGAAGGGATTGTGGCATGACTGACCTCAGTCAGCAGCTACTTTTTACTCTCTTTCTACGTCTCTCTGGTAAATGCATATATACCCTGGCAATTAATATACATATTACAATAATTATCAAAATTCCTAGAAATAAGAAAAGAGCACATTGCCATTGTTAAATGTCAGTATCTGTAAGTCAATTTGATGAATGATCCCGATAGAGCCCATTTTATTATGAGAGATCCTCATTGAGCCCATTTTATTAGGAATGATCCCCATCAAGCAAATATTATGGAAGCCCAATATTTGTCAGTAATAAATATTTACATTCAGATTAAGATTGAAAATACTGAGACCAGCAGCTGGCGTAATGGCTATGTCGCTGGCCTCCTATGTAGCAGACCAGGGTTCGAGTCCCAGACCTGGTGACTTAAACTCATGCCGATCGCATGTACGTGTGTGCTCAAGACCCTGAGAAGAGAATGGAGGAGAAGGAATTGTGGCATGGCCATCCCCCCATAGGAGGTGATTTCTCACTTTCTGTCTCTCTGTCTTTCTGCCGAGCGTATGCACCCTATAGCAAAAAGCTCTCAAAAAAAAAAAAAAATTGAAAATACTAAAGGAAGAATTTGTCAGTTGAATTATAACATTTTTCAAACTTAGGAAGATAGTTTTCCTTATCATGTTTTCAATGTCACAAACATGCTTCTTTATTCTTTTCATACTTGGTTAGTAAATAGCTCCAGTGGCCTTAGAATCTTTCAACATTTTTTATAAAGAGGGTGAAACTATGTAAATAAGTAATTGTCTTAATCAGACCCTACTAGTAAAAAAGACTTACATTCACAATTGAATCTTTGCAGTTGATGATTAAAAATCACTCGCT